GGAGGAGGAGGAGGAGGGGAGGAGGAGGAGGGAGGAGGAGGAGGAGGAGGAGGAGAGGGGAGGGAACAGAGGAGGAAGAAGGAGAAAGGAGGAAGTAGAAGGAGGGGGAAGGAGGAGGAGGAGAGAGAGGAGGAAGAGAAGGAGGTAGGAGGAAGGAGGAGGAGGAGGAGAGGAGGAGGAGGAGGGAGGAGGAAGGAGATTAGAAGGAGGAATAGAGTAGGAGGGAGGAGGAGGGATATAAAGAGGAGGACGATGGGGGAAAAGGAGGAGGTAGAACAGGCGGGGGAGTAGGGAAGAGAAGAAATAAGAGAGAAGAAGGTGGAGAGGAAGAATGGAGGGGGAGGGGAGGAAGATGGGGGAGATGGAGGAGGAAGAGGAGGAAATGAGTATGAGGAGGAGAAAGAGGAGAAGAGACGAGAAATCAGATGAGGAAATGGAAGAAGAAGAAGAAAAAAGTGCAGAGCGAAAAAAAATTTACTCTTAAAAAAACGAATTACCAATACACCGGGGAGGGACGGGTTGAATCAGGCAAACGACAAAAAAAAAAAAAAAAAAAAATTGGGCGGCGCTAATGACTCCATCATTATGCAAAATCATACCGCGCGGATAAATCAAATCAAAAGCAAAGACATAAAACGGGTGAGAAGTCACAGACTTTTCATTTATTTAATTTTTAGTTCATAGGTTATAAGGATCAGTTTCTTCCTCCTCCTTCTCGCTGCCGTTATCCAAGTGTTTCCTCATTTTCGCTCTTTCTTTCTTCTCTATTAACTTCGCTCGCTCGCGCCACTTCCAGGGGAGGAAGGGAGGGAGGGAGGGAGAAAGGGAGTAGGTGGGAGAGGGGGTGGGAGAAGGGAGGTAGGGAGGGGGTGGGGAGGAGGGGGGAAGGAAGGCAGGGAGGGATGGAGAGGTGGGGGAGAAGGGAGGGAGAGAGGGGGAGGAGAGATGAGGGAGGGGGAGGGGGGAAGGAAGGAAGGGAAGAGAGAGGGATGGAAAAGGAGAGTGTGGTTGGGGGAAGGAGAGAGTAGGGGGAGGGGGCAGGAGAGAGGGAAAGGGGGAAAGGGAGAGAGGGAGAGAGGGAGAGAGTGAGTAAGAGAGAGAGAGAGAGAGAGGAGAGAGAGAGAGAGAGAGAGAGAGAGAGAGAGAGAGAGAAGGAGAGAGAGAGAGAGAGAGAGAGAGAGAAGGAGAGACTGAGAGACAGAGACATTGATCGACAGACAGACAGAAAAAATAAGAAACAAACAAAAAGAAGGAAAAAAAAGAAAAAGAAAAAAAAGAAAGAGAGAGAGAGAGAAAAGCGTCAGCGTCTCAGTGACCTTAAGTAAACAAATAAACAAATAATAAAATAAACCAAACCTGCCAGCCGAGAACCGGATATGCTAAAACCGGATCCCAAACCAGGAAAAGAAAACAAATAATAATAAGAAAACAATAAAGAAGAAATGAGGAAAAAAAGGTAACTCAATGCGTCTTGATTTTCAGGATCTCGTCTGCACGCCTGAGGATAGGCAGTCGAGGATAGGGAGAGGAGAGAAGGGAGAAGGGGGAGAGGGAGAGAGGGGGGAAGGGAAAGGAGGGAGGGAGAGGGGAGAAGGGGCGAAGAGAGAGAGGGAGAGCGGGAGAGGGAAGGGGAAGCAGGGAAGGGAGAGGGGGTAGAGGAGAGGATAATAGGAGTGGAGGGTAGGTAGGGGGAGAGGAGACGGGGAAGGCAGAGAGAGGAGGGAAGAGGATAAGGAGTGATGGATACTGGAAGGGCACGAGGGGCGCAGGGATAGTGCAGGATAGGGGAAGGGCGGAGGGGAGAGGAGTCTGACCGGAGGCAAGGGGATAAGAAATCTTACTTGGAAGCGGCGAGAGCGGGAAAGGGGAGGAAAGTCTCTCTCTCCCAGATGGGAATGGGGGAATAGGGAATATCCCGGGAGTTCCGGATTCTCCGGAACCCACTAGTCGTCCTCCTCTCGTCTCATCGTCTGCACTCTGCTCGTCTCTCCTTCTCATCTTCTCTTCTCTCTCTCTCTCGTCGCAGGG